TATATATATATATATATATATATATATATATATATATATATATATATATATATATATATATATATAAAAAATAAAAAAATTTACACTACATACTCCTAATTTAAATACATTAAAAATATAAGTACCAGATAAAACTACTACTGCATATATACAGTATAGTTACTTATTTACAAATTACCTAATAAGTAACATTACACTATAATGCACCCAACCCAGAGTACTTTCTTACACAAATCTTTCCAATGAAACAATGGTTGTTATATGCTATAGTGTCATAAAACCATGCAAAATATTTCCTAAAGTACACAATCACAATCTACTAAAATGGTTCCACAACAGTCCATGATTTATAGAAGTATCTACTTTTTTAGGTTGTGATACTCCTGCCCAGGGCCGCCCAGAGGATTCAGGGGGCCTGGGGCAAAGCAATTTCAGGGGCCCCCCCTTCAATAAAAAAGCGCAATACTATAGAATACTATATTCTCGTGGGGGCCCCTGTGGGACCCAGGGCAAACTGCCCAAATTGCCTCCCTCCTCTGGGTGGCTCTGCTCCTGCCATTAAAAAATTACTAATAACAATGAAATGCACATAAAAATCTAAAATTGAAATGTCTGTGCTTCTGTAGGATTAAGTATGAAGCTATGGCTAGGCCTACACAGTTTTTCAACCATAGCTCTTTTGGGCATGATTATACCAGTAAAATCTCTAGTGTGGATGCAGTTTTAACATAAAGGTGACTTACTTTGGTATAGCTTATTCCCCCTCTATGTGGTACAACTTGTGTATAGGCAAGCTCTATGTCGTCAACTTTGCCTATGGTGATTTGGTGCTACAGCAAATAAAGTATGTACAATCATGTACTGCTATTAGACTTTTGTAATGCCTCATAACTAAAACAAGCTACAGTTACTGTAATAAGCTTTACCTCGGAAGCTCATATGATACCATCAGAGCTGCATTATATCATTTGTTGTTAAGTGTATTATAGCAGTTTCCACAAAAAATTTCAACTCCACTGGCATGACACTGCCTTGCATAAAGGGACAGATATAAAACTGTAGATATTAACTGTGTGTATTAGGAAAGCCTCTGAAAGTGGAATAAATTAAGTAATAACTATGACAAATAATTTGGCTTAATCTTTAATAACTTCACATTTCTGGAATGAGCAAAACAGGTAGTTTTCTTTTAAATGTTTCACAATAGCAAGTATGAGTTAAAACATTGGAATGGAAATTCCCTATCCAAAATATGTGATGGACTAGGAATATGTTGTGGCATATTGTCACACACATCTGGAAAATAAGAAGCTTGCCACCCACCTGATGTGTTTCATAGGAAACACATCTACAGTAGGTAGTACTCTGTAATAAGCTAGCAAACACTTTTTGGAGTCACTTTGCCCAGTTTCCTCATCTTCCAATTTGAGAGTTATCACCTGCTTCTCTTTGGGGAAGGTAATCTTGTTTAAGAAGCAAGGGTGTGTCTGAATTAAAAGGAACATGTGACAGAAGTGACAGTTTCTGTGGCAAAAAAATCTCTTTTTAAAAACCTGTTCCTTTACGTCTTGCCTAAACCAGGGTGTAGCGGGGTGGTTACCCTGCTGCTGCCCTGAAGGGCATAAAACAGCCCTGGGAGAGGGCTGCAGTGGGGAAAAGCCAGGGTGATTGGGGGAAGCAGCCATGCCCCAATCAGGCCACAGCTGGCTCTATAAGAGGGCTGAGGGCCAGAGGCTAAGACAGACACACACTCTTTCTCTCACTCCTGAGAGAGAAGGATCTGGCTGCCTGGGAAGCTGAGGAAGGTATCCGAAGTGGAGCAGTGCTAGGGAAGGGCAGAGGGAGCTGGGGAGCTCCAGTCTAGCAAAGCCCCAGGCTGCAGGCCAAGTTAAGGGCCCACAAGCGGATACTAGGGTTGCAGCCCAGGAATAGGCAGAGGCAGCTGGTCCAAACCCCCTTGCCGACAATGAGTGGTTTGTAGACTGCAGTCTGCCCCAGGGAGTTGGGGCTACATGGTGACTGGCGGTAGCCACTGAGGCAAGGTGGGGATAGAGGATGGGAGGTTCCCCAGAGTGGGGAGACCCAGATTGTGGGTTACTGCCAGGGGCAGAACCCTGATGTAGAGGGGCACCAAGGTCCGGGAGGGACACCGGCCTGCAGAGGGCACTCTGGATGCTGGAGAGCTAATTCCTGAGACAACCAGCAGGAGGCGCTGCACCAGCGAGACGTCGCCTTGCCACACGGGTTGAGAGTAACAGAGACAGTCATTTCTATTGAGCTGCAGCAAACACATGTTCCTCAGTTTAGTTTTAAATGCCAGAACATTCTGAGAAAATTTTGATCATCAATAATGAACATCAATTTCTGGACACCCCCTTCAGTCTTTTTTCTCCCATTCATGACTGTGCCTTTTGTTAAGTCATTGTCCTTGCCTAACACATCTTCCCTTTTCCTTTGTACCAAGCAACTGCCACTACTACACACACACACACACACACACACACACACACACACACACCCCTGACTTCTTTTGGTTTGTTTTCCATCACTAAACTCAACACCAGTATCATCTGTCACATCTCACATTTGACAAGTGAAAACACTCCAAAACTCCACAAAACTGTAGCGATGTTAGTATAGCCCAGGGGATAGGGTGTGGGACTTAGAAGATCTGGATTCTGTCACTTATCTGCTATATGACCTTAGGCAAATTACTTCATCTGTCTGTCTTAGTTTGATTGTAAACTCTTCTGCATAGGGAATCTCTCTTACTATGTTTTTGTAGAGTGCCCATCACAATAGGAACCCAATTGCAGTAGAGGGCAGTAAGCACTATTATATTTTGGTATTACAATAGTGTCACTTAACTGTGTGAGGTAAGCAAATTCTATTATGTGCAACTGTAACTCATCCACTCCCAATGCATCATCATCATCAGGGTTTGAACTCTGGACCTCCAGCACTGCAGCATAGTCGGCACTCACTACAGTGAAACGAGTAACTCCAATAATGGACAGCAGGAGTAGGCTGTAATCATTTGTGGACCACCTATTAGGGAATGCACAACATACTGAAACAACGATTACATATGCATGAGTAGCCTCATTTTACCTACAGCATAATCAGACACAGATTTGGGAGGTTCTTAAAAAGAGGCAGTATGGCTAATGAAATAAGACTTTTGTCTGCCATATTCTATTTCCAGCTGCTGTTGCTTCTCAGGGTGGTATGAGGCTTCGCTCAGTAACAAATATTGTAAAGGAACTGAATTACCAACAGCAGTTAGAAAACATGAGTGTAAGGCCTCATTGATCCTAGTCTGGTGCAAATGCCCCTAGCCCAATGTGTATTTTGATAGGGCAAGTGGGACAAGGAGGAGGATCTATGTTGTCTAGTTCCCATCTGGAGATACATATGTGCCATGCTAAAAAGAGACACTGGGGAGCATGTCCAGTACATGTGGTATCTTGAAAAGTTTTAGCAGAAACCTCTGCTGGGCATAATATAGATTGCAAATTTGACATTTTATAATTCAACCAAATCTGAATGGATTTCCATGTGGACAACAAAAGGCAAGTCTCTGACACGAGGACTATTCTTTCTGCTACAACTTACGGAGGCACTAAAGCCCTTGAAAAACAGGTCAGAAATGTTTGTATACTGAGATTAGGCAATCTACTACTCTGTTCATAATAATTTATGATTTAAGAATCAGAGGAAAAGTAAGTATTTTACTCACCCAAGCAGTATGAAAGCTGACAGGATTAGCACTTGTCACCAAGAACAAACAGTTTTAATTTTTTTTTAAAGTTTTAAGTTTAAAATATTATCTCAGAGCTTAGTGCTGGAGGCAGACATCTTGGTAAAAATTGTATCATTTAGGATACTAGCTCACAGAAGACCAATGGAAAATACTACTACATTACAGCAGTGATTCCAAATTTTGTTGTTGTTGTTGTTGTTGTTGTAGTAGGGGAAGCCCCTACTTACAGTAGACAGGTAGGCAGACACATTCCTCCCCATCACCACACCATTTTCCCTTATCCTATGTCCTGGCACAATTGGTGGTCTTCTCTTTATATTGTCCATGTCCTTCTTTGTAATCCTATTGTCTATTCTGTTTTCCTCCTTCTAATTTTGTGGTTTTTCACTTCATAGTCTCTTTTTTGTTTTCCTATTTTTTAATATTCCTTTTTGCTCCTCTTCCCAGTTCTCCCATACACCAGAAGGCTAACTATTGCTCAGGAGTCAAGATGGCATGTTTCTAACAACCTTTTTTTTTTTTTTTTTTACAGTAAGTCACTGATATCTAAATCTAATTTTACATTCTCTTCAGAATCATTTTAACAAATTGGACAGGTTAATGAGGCTAACACACATTGACACAAAAGTACTTACATTGCATTTACTTTATCTTCTGGGCCCTGAACTTGGCCAGTAACAGTCCCTTGTCTGGTATTTTTAACCCAGCCAACTACTCCCATTTTCCTAGCTTCATCTTCTGTGTACTGATTTGGAAAAAAAAAAATACATATAGTATATTCAGTACCAGCAGTTATGACACACACAGATTGTGCATCAGTAATCTTAAAGCCCCAGTTTCATTTCTACAACTTTCTTAAAACCTACTCTTCCTAAAAAGTATCTGTAGATATTAATGCACCTACCAAAACACCAGGATTTTCCTGCCGGTTCTGGACTTGCAGCAGAAGCAGCCAATTTTTCAACAAGAAAGTGAGACTTATCCCACTTGTGCTTATTAGTGTTTATCATAACATCATCCCTTGGCTCCACTTCCAAGTTACACTGCAGGCAATAAGCAAGTAGCAGTATAGCGACTTTGGGACAGTTTTCTCGTGATAGGTCAGAAACTATCAATGGTTCCATTTGGGGGAGAAGGCCAAAAAAAAAAAAAAACCGAACACTCTCCATTTTAAGAATTTTCAACATATGTTATCTTCTTGTGCAGAGATCCAGGGTCTTCCACATTACCCCATAGCTGCCACTTCGAAGAAATAACACTGGCAGCAAAAAACAGAAGGCTGTAAAAACTTCATCTTTTGTTAAAGCACTTCTGAATTTGCTACACTTCCTTAAGGAGCTAGGACAGCCCATCTTCAAGCAAACTGTCTAAATAATTAGCAACTTTCCTTGAGAAGTAAATGAAGAAGAATAAAACACTTGAAGAGAGAATTGTGGTAGCAATAAAGATTGAAGTCCAGTTAAATGTTCGGGTTGTTAATGTGGCTCTTTATGCAATACATTATTATTGTGAACTTATGCTGATTGTCACTTATTCACTTCCTGAGCTGGCTTCAGCCACTTCAGTTTATCTCCACTTTTTTTTAAGTTTTGCCATTCTTTATGATCTGTCTCTCATACCTAAGTAACATATGTGTATCTTTAAATATACATGTTTTAAAACCACAAAACTGCACAGAATAGGAAGTCTCTCGCTCAGAAATCCAGCAAAGAATTATTCCACCCAAAGAAGAAAAAGTCAATCAATATTAGCCAACACATGTTCTTCTACTTCTCATACATCAGTTATATAACTATAGATGTCACAGGTATTTTAACTATCTACATCTTTTCTAACTCAATCAAGATGAAACAATCTGTGTGCAAGCATGCATCTCGTGTTTACATGCTGCACTGCAGAGTATAATCAGACTCACCACAATTGTAAACTTTAACACAGTTTTCAAAGATATAGTTGGGAGTTTTCCACCCTATGTTTTAAATGTTGCTAAATAATACAATAATATACCAGAGTATGCATAGAGGCTGGCTCTCTCTCTCTCTATATATATATATTGTGATAAAGTTCCTCCTCTATCTTGGTGGGTCCTGCACTTATTGGCGGATATTCTTGCTTCAGAGATTCACCATGTGGGTTGGGGAACAGCCCAGAGACCTTCCCCTCTGGGAGAACCCACAGTCCAGGTCAATTGGGAGGTATGGGGGGAAACCGAGGCCCACCCTCTACTCCAGGTTCCAGCCCAGGGCCCTGTGGACTACAGCTATCTATAGTGCCTCCTGTAACAGCTGCATGACAGCTACAACTCCCTGGGCTACTTCCCCATGGCCTCCTCCAAACATCTTCCTTATTCTCACCACAGGACCTTCCTCCTGGTGTCTGATAACACTTGTGCTCCTCAGTCCTCCAACAGCACACACTCTCAGCTCCTTGCACCTCTTGCTCCCAGCTCCTCACACTCACACCACAAACTGAAGTGAGCTCCTTTTAAAACCCAGGTGCCCTGATTAGCCTGCCTTAATTGATTCTAGCAGCTTCTTCTTAATTGGCTCCAGCTGTCCTAATCAGCCTGCCTGCCTTAACTGGTTCTGGCAGGTTCCTGATTACTCTAGTGCAGCCCCTTCTCTGGTCACTCAGGGAACAGAAATCATTTGGTACTGGGTCCAGTGGTCCCTCCCGCTAGGCTGGGGGAGGGGCCTTTAGTAGTAGGTGGGTGAGCCCGCCCACTTCAGGGAACAGAAAACTACTCATCCAGTGACCAGTATATTTGCCCTCTACCAGACTCCTGTACCCCACTGGTCTGGGTCTGTCACTATATATATATATATATCCAGTTGCATATACTGCACTGAGATTTGGCTATTAGCCTCTGGGGACTACATTTTAGTATACTTCATATACACTCAACTGGGTTGGCCTAGGCTGCTATTAATGAATAGTCATTATTGATTAGTTCACTGGAGAACTGTTCCTGTTTAGACACGATCAGCACAATTTCAGTGTTTTACTGTCTTCTGTCGCAAATTTTTAAATTGTCTATTTGGTTACATTTGCCTGCAGGTAAAGCATTAAAAGGGGAGGAGGGATAACTCAGTGGTTTGAGCATTGGCCTACTAAACCAAGGGTTATGAGCTCAATCCTTGAGGGAGCTACTTAGGGATCTGGGGCAAAATCAGTACTTGGTCCTGCTAGTGAAAGCAAGGGGCTGGACTCAATGACCTTTTGGGGTCCCTTCAAGTTCTAGGAGATAGGATATCTCCATGTATTTTTTTATTATAACAAATATAAGAGGCATAGACTCGTCGTTTCCTCACACAAGACACTCAATGCTCACTTCTCTCCACTTAAATATAAAGCAGGCATGGGATGATGTCATGACTTTCAATCACACACAGACATATATTCGCACTTCTAAGTTAACAGTAACTTAGCACAAAGCAATGAAACATATATCTGATAGCGTGGCAACTCAGCACAGGAGCCCAAAGTACCTGGGATAGACCCAAGCTGATTGGGTAGAATGAATGATGTTACTAAATTCAAGACATATGTTATACCCTAAGTCCTTCAGCCATTCATCTTTCAGCTGTTTCACAAGTATAACTATATACTGAAAAAGCTTTATATTTAATATTAAACATTAGTCAATATTTTCAGAAAATACAGTATTCTAGCTATTTCCACTCTGTGAAACATGTGTCCTCTTGTTTTCTGAGCTTCTGCCTTTCTTTTTAATTGTAATGCTCCTGCTGCAGGTTCAGAACAGGTGGAGAAGCTTGGCTGGGTTCTGAGCTGCAGAGACTAAACTTTCACATCATGTGATTATTAGACATCATCTGTCAGAAAAAAAAATCATAAGCACTGTAGATTAATTTCTTTAATTCTCTGAAGAATTAACACTGCATTTTTATTTTCATGAAAAAAAATAAAAAGAATACACGTTGCTTCAGTAGCGCAAAACTAACATTTTCCATTCAACACATTGTCAGGCCCTTATGATGTTTAAATTCAGTGATTGAAGCCTTTAGATATTACTATGATACAAACAAATTAAATAACATCAGTATGAATAAAGCAACAGAGGGTCCTGTGGCACCTTTAAGACTAACAAGTATTGGAGCATAAGCTTTCGTGGGTGAATGCCCAATTCATCAGACTCACGTCTGATGAAGTAGGCTTTCACCCACGAAAGCTTATGCTCCAATACTTTTGTTAGGCCTGGTCTACACTATGAGTTTAATTCGAATTTAGCAGCATTAAATCAAATTAACCCTGCACCCGTCCACACAACGAAGCCATTTATTTCGAAATAAAAGGTTCTTAAAATCGATTTCTGTACTCCTCCCTGACGAGCGGAGTAGCGCCAAAATCGATACTGTCATTTCGAATTAGGGTTAGTGTGGCCGCAATTCGATGGTATTGGCCTCCGGGAGCTATCCCACAGTGCACCATTGTGACCGCTCTGGACAGCAATCTGAACTCGGATGCACTGGCCAGGTAGTCAGGAAATGCCCCGCGAACATTTTAATTTCATTTCCTGTTTGCCCAGCACAGGAGAGCATTGGTGACCACAGAGAGCTCATCAGCACAGATAACCATGCAGGCCGATAATCGAAAAAGAGCACCAGCATGGATCGTACGGGAGGTACTGGATCTGATCGCTATATGGGGAGAGGATTCAGTGCTAGCAGAACTTCGTTCGAAAAGACGAAATGCCAAAATTTTTGAAAAAAATCTCCAAGGGCATGATGGAGAGAGGCCACAATAGGTTCTCAGAGCAGTGCCACGTGAAAGTCAAGGAGCTCAGACAAGCCTATCAGAAAACAAAGGAGGCAAACAGTCGCTCAGGGTCAGAGGCGCAGACATGCCGCTTCTACGCTGAGCTGCATGCAATCCTAGGGGGGGCCGCCACCACTACCCCACCTCTGACCGTGGATTCTGAGGCGGGGGTAATCTCATTAGCCACACCTGAGGATTCTGCGGACGGGGAAAAGGAGGAGGAGGAGGACGACGAAGACGAGCTTGCAGAGAGCACACAGCAGTCCGTTCTCCCCAACAGCCAGGATCTTTTTCTCAGCCTGACTGAAGTACCCTCCCAAGCCAGTACCCAAGACCATGACCCCATGGAAGGGACCTCAGGTGAGTTTACCTTTTAAAATACAAAACATGGTTTAAAAGCAAGCGTTTTTTAATGGTTAATTTGCCCTGAGGACTTGGGATGCATTTGCGGCCAGTACAGCTACTGGAAAAGTCTGTTAACGTGTCTGGGGATGGAGCGGAAATCCTCCAGGGACATCTCCATGAAGCTCTTCTGGAGGTACTCCAAAAGCCTTTGCAGAAGATTTCTGGGAAGTGCAGCCTTATTCCGTCCTCCATGGTAGGACACTTGACCACGCCATGCTAGTAGCAAGTAATCTGGTATCATTGCATGACAAAGCCTGGCAGCGTATGGTCCCGGTGTTTGCTGGCATTCAAGGAACATCCATTCTTTATCTTGCTGTGTAATCCTCAGAAGAGTGATATCGCTCATGGTAACCTGGTTGAAATACAGGAATTTAATTAAGGGGACAAAGGTGGCCGCTCCTACTGGGCTGTTTGCCTGTGGCTGAAAAGAAATCCTTCCCTGCAGTTAGCCAAGCGCGGGGCGGGGGGGAATTGGTGCTGAGCTTTTCGCCTTTGGCTAGCAAGGATCTTCCCTGATACCAGCCACACGGTGGGGGGAGGGATAAAGCGATCATCCCAGAGAATTGGATGGGGGGGGTTAGTTTGTTTTCTGCTGCTGAAGGTTAACAGGAAAACCGCAGCAGTCAACGGGCTTTGCTTGGTATGTGGGAAAGGAGGGCGCAGAAGCTGAAAGACAATGGCTTACCATGGCCGCATGCAAGCTGAATTCTGTTGCCCGTACCTGCGTCTGTGATCTCTAACACCAAAGCCACAGGCACTCAATATTAAGATGGAAAATGCGACCTTGTACTGAAATCCCATGTGCTTTGTAATGTGAATAGTGTTGTTCACCATGAAAGAGTATAAGCATTGTTCTGTAAAACGTATCATTTTAAAAACTTCTCTCCTTTTTTTCAACCCTCCCTCCAGCAGCTGCAAATTTTTCAAGCCTCCCTCCTCCATCCCGAAGGCTATCTTAGATAAAGCGGCGGAGAAAGAGGACGCGAGACGAGATGTTCTCGGAAATAATGGAATCCACCCGCAATGAAAGAGCTCATTTGAATGAGTGGAAGGACACGGTATCTAAGTACAGGAAAGATGCCAGTGAACATGAGGTCATGAGGGACGCTCGAGATGAGAGGTGGCAGGCTGCAACGCTGGGGCTGTTGTGTGATCAAACGGACATACTCCGGCGTCTGGTGAAGCTTCAGGAACGGCAGCAGGATAACAGACTGCCGTTGCAGCCACTGTATAACCTCCCTCCCCCCTCACCATGTTACATAGCCTCCTCACCCAGACGTGTAAGAACGCGGGGGGGGAGGCTCCGTGCACTCTCCCACTCCACCCCAGTGGACAGCCCAACCAAAAGGCTGTCATTATATTGAATTTTTTCAGTGGCCTTTTACTTCCCTCCTATCCTCCTCCCAAACCTCACCCAGGTTACCTTGTCTGTTCTCTCGCTATGTTTATAATCAATTAATAAAGAATACATGATTTTTAAACGATAGTGACTTTATTTCCTTTAAAAGCAAGCTGTGATTTAAGGGGGGAGGGTGGTTTGCTTACAGGGAATGAGTCAATCAAGGGGGCGGGTTTTCAACAAACAGAACTTTCACACTGTAGCCTGGCCAGTCATGAAACTGGTTTTCAAAGCTTCTTTGATGCACAGCGTTTCCTGGTGTGCTCTTCTTATCGCCCTGGTGTCTGGCTGCGCGTAATCAGCAGCCAGGCGATTTGCCTCAGCCTCCCACCCCGCCATAAAGGTCTCCCCCTTACTCTCACAGAGATTGTGGAGCACACAGCAAGCAGCAATAACAATAGGGATATTGGTTGGGCTGAGGTCTGACCGAGTCAGTAACGAGCACCAGCGACCTTTCAAACGGCCAAATGCACATTCTACCACCATTCTGCACTTGCTCAACCTGTAGTTGAACAGCTCCTGACTCCTGTCCAGGCTGCCTGTGTATGGCTTCATCAGCCATGGCATTAAGGGGTAGGCTGGGTCCCCAAGAATAACTATTGGCATTTCAACACCCCCAACGGTTATTTTCTGGACCGGGAAGTGAGTCCCTTGCTGCAGCCGTTTAAACAGAGTAGTGTTCCTGAAGACGCGAGCGTCATGAACCCTTCCCGGACAGCCCACGTTGATGTTGGTGAAACGTCCCTTGTGATCCACAAGTGCTTGCAGCACCATTGAAAAGTACCCCTTGCGGTTTATGTACTGGGTACCCTGGTGCTCCAGTGCCAAGATAGGGATATGGGTTCCATCTATCGCCCCACCACAGTTAGGGAATCCCATTGCAGCAAAGCCATCCACTATGACCTGCACATTTCCCAGAGTCACTACCTTTCGTAAAAGCAGCTCAGTGATTGCTTTGGCTACTTGCATCACAGCAGCCCCCACAGTAGATTTGACCACTCCAAATTGATTCCCGACTGACCGGTAGTTGTCTGGCATTGCAAGCTTTCGCCACTCGCTTCTCAACTGTGAGGGCTGCTCTCATCTTGGTATTCTGGCGCTTCAGGGCAGGGGAAAGCAAGTCACAAAGTTCCCTGAAAGTGCCCTTATGCATGCAAAAGTTTCGCAGCCACTGGGAATCGTCCCACACCTGCAACACTATGTCTGTGCTTGTTTCCCGGGCCCAGAATCGGCATTCCACGGCTATAACCTGCTCCATTAACAGCATGATCTCCAAAGCACCAGGGCCCGCTGTTTGATAGAATTCCATGTCCATGTCCTCATCACTGTCGCCGCCGCGCTGCCATAGCCTACTCCTCGCCGCCTGGTTTTGCAGGTTCTGGTTCAGCATAAACTGCACGATAACGCGCGAGGTGTTTACAATGTTCATGACTGCTGTCTTGAGCTGAGCGGGCTCCATGCTTGCCGTGGTACGGCGTCTGCACTGTTCACCCAGGAAAAAGGTGCAAAACGGTTGTCTGTCGTTGCTTCCCTGGAGAGGGGGGAGGATGTACCTAGAACCACCCGCGACAATGTTTTTGGACCCATCAGGCATTGGGATCTCAACCCAGAATTCCAATGAGACTGCGGGAACTATGGGATAGCTTCCCACAGTGCAACGCTCCGGAAATCGACACTAGCCCCGGTACATGGACGCACACCGCCGAATTAATGTGCTTAGTGTGGCCGCATACATTCGACTTTATACAATCTGTTTCCAAAATTCGAATTATATAAATTCGGATTAATCCTGTAGCATAGACATACCCTTAGTCTTAAAGGTGCCACAAGACCCTCTGTTGCTTTTTACAGATTCAGAGTAACATGACTACCCCTCTGATACTTGATCAGTATGAATAAACTTTTCTTAAAAGAAATTCTGTTTTAACAGTAGGATTATTCTATACCATTATCTACTAGAAAAAGAACCTATGATTAAAAAAAAAACAACAACAACAAAAACACACAATACTTAACTGTCCAGCTAAGGACTGAAAACGTCAGCTGGATGCCTTTGTACTCTACTATAGGCCTCCTACAATATTTTTAGCATTGGAAATATTACACTGTTGTAATGTAAAATTGGCATAATGCATGCTGCCTTACCATTCTGAAACAAACACCTACAAAAAAAGGAAAAGAAAAGAGAGATTAATTTGACAGAATTAATGCTATTGCTAACAATTTTACCTAATTTGTGTCTCTGTAAACTAAACTAAGTACTAGAAGTTTGTTCTAGTCATTTTCTATGAAACTTTAAAGAATGGTTATACCTATTCATCACACTTCTAAAATATGGATAGCTACTTAGGAGTCAGGTTTACACATACATACATACGTTTGGACCTTATTATTAGGGCCCTACCAATATCACAGTCCATATTAGTCAATTTCACGATCATAGGATTTTAAAAATTGTAAATTTCATTATTTCAGCTATTTAAAGCTGAAATTTCAGAGTTGTAATTGTAGAGGTCTTGACCCAAAAAGGAGTTGGGGGGGAAGGGGGTGTCACAAGGTTATTGTAGAGGGAGGCTTAGGTACTGCTACCCTTACTTCTGTGCTGCTGCTGGTGGCGGTGCTGCCTTCAAAGCTGGGCAGCTGGAGAGGGGCAGCTGCTGGCTGGAAGACCAGCTCTGAAAGCAGAGCTGCTACCAGCAGCAGTGCAGAAGAAAGGATGGCATTGTATGGTATTGCCACCCTTACGTCTGTGCTGCTGCTGACGGGGCGCTGCTTTCAGAGCTGGGCTCCTGACAAACAGCCACTGCTCTCTGGCCACTTAGCTCTGAAGGGAGCATAGAAGTAAGGGTGGAAATATCATGATCCCCCTAAAATAACCTTGCAACCCCCCTGCAACTCTCTTTTGGGTCTGGACCCCCAATTTGAGAAACACTGGTCTCCCCCATGAAATTTGTAGAGTATAGGGTAAAAGCACACAAAAGACCAGATTTCATGGTCCATGACACGTTTTTCATGGCCGGGAATTTGGTACAGCCCTACTTATTATGGTCTTCCTTAGGACAAATAATGACAGAGAAAATATCTTACTTGTAATTCTGCTTCTCTGAATATATCCTTTTGAAGGATTCTCTATCCCTAGCCGTAACTTCTTAGCAATACAGCGGAAGAACACTTCTAGAGCTTCAGGTTTTAATCCCTGAGGACAACCGTAGGAAAGTAGAAGATAAGCCAGGCCCCCTTGATTCTTACATCATGTACTTAATTTCACTGCAGGCATCCCAGGAGTCCCCCCCCCTTTTTTTTTTTTTAAAAAAACAACACCTCATGTTGAACATCCAGAATTGGCATTTTCTTTCTGGGAACTTTGCCTACCATGCAACTGAAGAAACTGAGTGGAATGTTCAGAAGGCTCACAAGGACAAGTAGGGTATATGGCTTGCACTCTATCCCACTACTGCTGCCCTCAAGACTCACAAACTAGGAGAATTCCATCATCTTCTGCTAAGGAGATAAGACCTGTAGTCAAAATCCTGCACAGATAATATCTTTAAAGAATGCGGAATGTCAACAGTCTCCAAGTACGAAATAAATGCTATATTATAAAAACATATCTCCAAGCTTTTAGCTACCCAATTGGTGGCCTACTCCCACCAAAAAAATTAAGGTTGCTAAATTTATGTATGAGAATATATATAAGTAGAATATATATATATATAACCTTTTATGCATTTGTTTTTAGAAAACTACAGAATACTATCTGAACAGAGACAGTTTATACCTTCATGGAGAAAGTACTGAGTCCTTAGTTATGCAGGATAGATAAGAGTCATATCATGCATTAAACAAACAAAAACAAGAATTCCATTATTATGTACTTACATCACACCAGTGTTTAGTGGCCCCTGCCAATATCAGCCCCCATTGAGGTAGACATTGGACAAACAAGTAGTAACATGGATCTCTCTCATTCAGTTTATGAGGTTTGTATTTTTATTCCTGTTTACACCTATATGATCCACAGCCTTCCTTCACACCATCCACTCAAGCATGATCAAAAAAGATATCAGGCCAACTTTATCACTGGTATATTCCATCAAAGTAAGTGGTATTATACCCATTTTTACCATGGTAAATTTGATCCATCAGCTGCCAGATAATATGGTTTGTGATTTTTATAATTTTTTTAACACAGAACTAAATAATGTTTTGCTGATCCTCTATTGCTGATTTATCTATGGTGCATATTCTGACAATCTGAGAAAGTTGTCAATACTTTCAGCTAACAATGTATTTTAAATATAGTTACAATATAACAGAACCAAACAGGAGACCTGCACTTGTCAGATAACTTACAAAGATACTCATGTTTGCTATGTTGCTATAGCCATTGAGAGACAAGGTGGATGAGGTAATATCTTTTATTGGACCAATTGAACTGTGGCATTCTGAGTACCTTTCCCAGACCTGAAGAAGAGATCTGTGTAAGCTTGAAAGCTTATCTTGTTCACCAACAGAAGTTGGTCAAGTAAAATATATTACCTCACCCACCTTCTCTGTCTAAAGATATTCATGTAATTTAAACAATGCCCTTGTTGTTTGCCTTGTATTATTGCCAACATCCCCTCTCTATTCAAACTGCCTTAGTTAAATTAGTTAGAAAAAACAGTTACCTTTCATAACTGTTGTTCTTCAAGATGTGTTGCTCATGTCCATTCCTTTGTAGATATGGGCATGCCCATGTGCAGTTGTTGGAGACTTTTGCCTTAGCTGTATCCATAAGGTCGGCTGTGGCGCCCCCTTGAGTGCCGCACTCATGCATCGGTATATTAGGTGCTGCTGACTTTCCGCCCTCTCAGTTCCTTCTTGCCTGCAACTCCGACAGAGGGGTAGGAGGGCAGGTAATGGAATGGACATGATCAACACATCTCGAAGAACAACTGTTATGCAAGGTAACCATTTTTTTCTTCTTCGAGTGCTTCCTCATGTCGATTCCATTCTAGGTGACTCACCAGCAGTATCTACGGAGATAGGCTCGGAGTTCACAATTTCGCGACTTGCAGTACTGCCCTACCAAAGCCCGCATCATCCTGGGCCTGCTGAGTCAGCGTGTAGTGGGATGTAAACATATGGAATGCATGACCCAGGTGGTCACCCTGCAGATATCCTGGATAGGCACCTGGACCAGAAAAGCTGCCAAAGAGGCCTGCACCCTGGTTGAGTGGGCGGTGACAATCGCTGGGGGCAGCACCTTCACTGGATCATAGCAGAAGCGAACGCAGGCTGTGATTCAAGAGGCGCTTCTTTGGGAGGATACAGGGTGCCCTTTCATCCTGTCAGCCACAGCGACGAACAATTCCGTAGACTTAGGGAATGGCTTGGTCCTGTCAATGTAGAAGACTAGAGCCCTTCTAACGTACAAGGCATGCAGTCTACACTCCTCCTCTGACTTATGCAGCTTAGGAAAGAAGACCGGTAAGTAAATGTCCTGGCTTGAATGAAACTGAGAGGCCACCCTTGGGCAGAAAAGCCAGGTGAGGTCTCAGCTGTACCTTGTTAAAAACTGTATAACATGGCTCGGAGGCGAACGCCCAAATTTCCGAGACCCGACAGGCCAAAGTCACCACGACCAGGAACACAACCTTCCAGGACAAGAGAAGGAGAGAACAGGAAGCCAAAGGCTCAAAAGGGGGACCCGTGAGCCACACCAGCACCAGCTTCAAGTCCCAGGGAGAAATGGGATCCTTGGTATGTGAGTAGAGGTGCTCAAGGCCCTAGAGGAATGTCTTGGGTGAAGACCGACCTGCCCTCAAGCGGCAGATGGAGTGCTGAGATGGCCACCAGGTGGACCTTGATCAATGAAAGGGACAAACCCTGGAGCTTGAGATGCAGAAGGTATTCCAGAATGAGCTGCAACAAGGCCTGCTTGGGCTAGACGCCTTTCTCTGACGTCCAACAGGTGAACCACTTCCACTTGGCCAGGTAGGTTGCCCTGGTAGAGGGCTTTCTACTTCCCAACAGGATCTGCTGAACATCTGCCAAACACTGCTGCTCCTGCTCGTTCAACCATGCACCAGCCAAGCTGTCAGGTGCAGCGCCGCTAGATTTGGGTGCAGAAAACTGCCACTGTTTTGGGATAGAAGTCTGGCCTGAGATAAAAGGTCCAGCAGCATGCTGTACCAGTGCTGGTACAGCCAGGCAGGCGCTATGAGGATCACCCTTTTTCTGTCCTACCTGATCTTTGTGAGGACCCTGGGGAGCAACGGCACCGGAGGAAAGGCGTACATCAGAGCCCCCACCACGGGAGTAGAAAAACATCCAACAGGGACCCCCTGTCCAAGCCTCTCATTGAGCAAAAGACGTGGCATTTCCTGTTCTGTCTGGATGCAAACAGGTTCAACCGGGGAGTTTCCCACTTGTGGAAGACGAAACTCACCACCTCTGGATGGAGGGACCACTCGTGGTGAGACAAGAAGGTCCTGCTGAGGCAATCTGCCAAGGTGTTCTTGGCCCCTGGAAGGTGCGCTGCAATGAGATGTATATCGTACTGCAGACAGAGGTCCCAGAGTCTGAGGGCTTCTTGACAGAGGGCCGTCGACTTGGCTCTGCCTTGCTTGTTAATATAGAACACGGTTGCCATATTGTCCGTAAGTACCTGAACCACTTTGCCCTGTATATGAGGTGGGAAGGCGTGGCAGGCTAAGCAAACCGCCCTGAGTTCCCTGGCAAGTAGCGATCGTAACTGAACCAACAACCTTGTGTACTGAAATCACCCAGATGGGCTCCCCACCCCAGGTTCAAAGCATCGGAGACGAGGGTCATCAATGAGGCCGGAGCCGCAAAGGGGACTCCTTCCAATAGTGGCATGGAATCTTGATACCAGGTGAGAGGCGACAGTATACTGTCCGGAATTCTGACCACCCGATCCAGGCTGTGCTGGTTGGGGACATAAGCCATAAGCCTGTAGGGGCCTGAGGTGGAGCTGCACATACCAGACCATGTATGTGCAGGCCACCATGTGTCTCAACAGTCTCAGGCACATGTGGGTGGTAGTGAGTGGATGGGCTCGCTTCACAAGATGAGGTCCACCTTGGCTTGGAATGGAGTCTTGGGGAGGAAGGCCCTGGCCCGAATGGAGTCGAGAACCACTCCGATGAATTCTATGTGTTGCACTGGGGTTAAGGTTGACTTTTTCTCATTTATTATCAGCCCCAGGTCACGAAAGGTGGAACAGACCAGCCTGAGATGCCTCCACACCTAGTCTCAGGACTGGCACTTATTAGACAGTCGTCGAGGTACGGATAAATCTGGACTCCCTGATGTTGCAGCTAAGTGGCCACCAGCGCTATGCACTTTGTGAACACCCTCGGGGCTGACCAGAGAGCAAAGGACATCACCATGAATTGGAAATGACATTGGCCCAGCTTGAAACGGAGGAAGTGCTGGTGCCCCCGGAAAAATGGAAATATGGAAGTAAGCGTCCTTTAAATCGAGGGTGGTGTATCAGGCTTCCGGATCCAGGGAAGGGATGATGGAGGCCAGGGAGACCATGTGAAAGTTCAACTTCTTGAGAGAATTGTTGAGGCAACGCAGGTCCAGAACGGGTCTGAGGCTGCCTTTTGCCTTCGGAATCAGGAAGTAACGGGAGTAGAACCCTTTTCCTTCCATGTTCCGAAGGACCTCCTCCACTGCCCCCAGATGCAGGAGGCTGTCGACCTCCTGAACGAGGAGCTGCTTGTGAGAAGGGTCCCTGAAGAGGACAGGGAAGGGGGGTGGGAGGGATGGATGGTGATAAACCTATAAAAAGGTATAGCCTGACGAAACTGTATTGAGCACCCAACAGTCCAAGGTGATACAGGACCAGGGCGACCAAAAAGGGCGGAGGCAGTCGAGGAAGGGGAGGGATGGATCCTACAGATTGGCTCAGGAGTACCCTCAAAACGACTGTTTTTAGCCTCCCTGGCCTCGGGGATGGTCAGGTTGTGAAGCCGGGCAAGAAGACAACAGGTATCGCCACTTATGCCCCTTGTCTTTATCCTTTCTCCTGTATGCGCCTGTTCTGGGAGTTCCCCAGGACCTGGGCTGTTGAGGGGGAGGAGGCAGAGGACAGAAAGGCTTCCTGGACTGTTGCAGGGTATGAAGGCCCAGGAAATGGAGGGTGGCTCGGGAGTCTTTAAGGTGATGGAGTCTTGAGTCCGT